GCATGAAAGGCTTTACATGTCAGGGCTGCAGCGTTATGTCTCAGGCGTTCGGCCGGCTCCGGGCTTGCAGGAAGCAGCCATGCAGAAAGTGCTGCTCGTGGTCTCAACTTGTTTATTGACATTGTCTGATATTGCTATCTCCGTTATACTGAGATATGATTGGTGCTGCTGTTCTGGATCCAAAGCCTAGATGGCCTAGATGTCTTTTCCAAGATTTGACGACCCTGCACCTGAACTCTGACCGCAGGCAGCCGAGAAAGCAGTGTGGCCTGAAGCTCTACACTCTGCATGCATAGCCCTAAGAAGTCGACGTAAAATCCCCATTGCGACACTAAGCTAACCACATTGCTGCACAGGATGATTGCAGCATCAACGTCAGTACACTCAGCGTTGCCATTGAACATCAGCAGATACATCCCAAGACCTCGACGACATCACAAAGCTAAAGCCGCCAACTACAGCAACAAACACGCGACAAGGACCAGCAGACCGTGGTAGTAGTGGTAGCAATGGTAGCAGTAGTCGTCGTCGTAGTCGTAGTCGCATCAGCACCAGGACCAGGACAGGCAAAAGCAGGAGGAGCCGGGAAACCGGGGTGAGCGGGGTAGCAGCAGCCGTAGCAGCAGTAGCAGTAGTAGCGGTAGTAGTAGGAGGAGTAGTAGTCGTCGTCGGCGTCCTAGTCCAGTAGAAGCAGTAGAAGTAGCAGCAGCAGCAGCAGCAGCAGCAGCAGCAGCAGCAGCAGCAGCAGCAGCAGGAGTAGTAGTAGTAGTAGTAGTAGTAGTAGTAGTAGTAGTAGTAGTAGTAGTAATAGTAGTAGTAGTAGTAGTAGTGGTAGTAGTAGTAATTGGAGTAGATGGCTTTGTATTGGTTGCCAGCATGGTAGCACGACTACGGACGACGACGAACGGGATCAATTAAGGAAGCAGGCATCAACAGTACTTGAGCCAAGTGCTAATGGCAACCTCATCTGTCGTAATCAAAGGACAAAAAGCAATCTGAGTTAATCATTAGTACTCGTCTGGAACAACAGCAATCACAATCACGAACGCAGCCGTCATCATTTCGCTAGGATAACAAGGGCAAGGTGCCTGCAACTTATTCCCCTTTGTTCCAGGAGCCTGGACACTAAACACCTTCCCTTTAAGGACTTCGCTGGAGATGCAACGCCCAAGATGTGGTACAAGTCGACATTGAAGATGTCCCCGTTGGACTGCGCAGCTTCTTGGATCTTCGAGGTGAAGGCTCTAATATAGCGGCCTTAGTAAGTAGAATAGGGTTTGGGGGCCATTAAACTATCTTTATAATAAGGAACCCCCAGAATAGTATCGGTAATTATTTAGGACCCTATATTATGCTTCGGGATTTGGTTCACATAGTGCAACCGTGAAAGTTTACGGGGAGGAGTGCCATGAAGAGACTGCTCGGAGAAGCTGCGGCATCATGCAACTGCCGAAGGATTGCAGTGACTAATGATGTGTTGGGGAGCCAGGTACTGGGTGACCATGGTATCCAATCGGCAAATGCTGGCGAGATTAAGTTCTCCATGGATGTCTCCCCCAAGCCCACCGAAGCCTCGCCAGTGTCGAAGCTCTTTCTGAGTTCTTCCACGAAGTGACCTTGCTCTGTCAACCTCTTACTCCACCCACTTCTACAGCAAATCAGGAGCCCAGCTTCAGGGGCAGGACGACTTAGAAGTATTCCTTCTGCCAGCTCCAAATGAAGTGACAGCGTCGGCTCCTACCTGCTTATCTTTCCAAGACTTCCGAAGCAAACAGTCGAGATGTTCGACTGCATGCCCAGTGACACGCCTCGACCCTGAACCCGAATCTCGTAGTGTTCTGAAAAACACAAAAAAACACTACTGTTTTATAAAACACTACAGTCCCAGTGCAAGACCAGCTGCGTGCATAGTAGCTCACGAAGTGCTTGGAATCCTCGGCAGTCGATGGCTTGCGGTCTCGGGGGCTTCAGGGCACATGGATACGACCGACACCGAAAAAAGGGGCGGATTTTGGGACAGCGTCCCGAATCCTATGGACGATCGATATTCCGATCACGACTGCGACTGCCACTCAGCACAGCACCTCGTGTTTGGACACGGCCTGAAGCAATGGAAGCAGGTGCAGCTCTTGCACAAGCTGCTGCTAGGTATCCCGATGTGGCCGGAGATCTTGTGCACCGGGAGCTGCTTGGAGCTAGGCTGCTAAGGCTTTGTGCTACGGAGCTTGGACAAGCGGCATGCACGGCGTCGGGTCGGGCTGAAGGGGGTGAACAGGTTAAACGTCGCCGACCCATACCGTGGCAACCACTATAGACATGTGTCCCCAATAACTGCCATAAGATGCGTGTTGCCGACATGTTTTACGAAACGGTATGTGTGGCCTCGGCAAAAGCGTCGCTGCGGATGGTCACCAATTTGCCTCGGATTTGCGGTTCGTCCTGTTTCCGTCTGATGCGCCAACCATTCGCCGATGGCTTGCTGCATTGGCATGCTGACTGTGCAACCCAGATGCTGTGCGACGTTGAAATGAAGTCGCCCTGGTTGACCCACTTATCTGCCCAAATGCATGCCTGCAATTCAAAGAGGTCTGGCAGAACGAAGAGCCAGCACATTCTGAAGTTAAGGCAAAGGAGATTCCACGGATGCCTCGCACAAGTAGGAGCCTTTCGGAAGCTCGTAATCCTGGATGAGCTGGTTCTGAGATTCGAGGAACTGCCTGGTACTCTTCGACTCGACTGGACACCACGCAGCGGCAAGGTCTCCACGAGGGTCAGAATTGGCTGGTGCGTGTGCTGGGGCCATGTCGAAGCGTTAAGGCTTCCACATATATATATGGATTCAAACTCCTATGCAATTACAGCGCCTACGTTGCGTTGCAAGTTCCGGCCATGGCCCGAGGCCAGGACGACTTGCGGCCAAGCATGTTCTGCACGCGGCGCGCGGGACTCTTCTTCGTCTTCCTGGTCGCGACCGTTGTTTGCTTCAGGTCGGGTGGGGTGAACCAAACACCTACTACTAGTAGAGGTACCTCCTCGGGGAATACTCGGAACCTACAGTTTGGGTCTACTCTCTGAAACCCCCACTTGATGGCCAGAAAACACGGGGGCGGGCGAAACCCCACCACCTGAATCTGTAAATTCTGTAGCACCCCCAAAGTCAAAAACCACTTCAACGAAAAAACACACCATCGTTTGTCTAAACACACCATCGTTTGTCGTGCCGGGTGGCTTCTCAAAGTCCACTCCACGATCTGCCAGCCAGCTCTTCAGTCCGGTGTCTCGGCTGTAGAGAAGCCGTGGACCTTAGGAAGTCACGGCGAGGGCTTGAGGGTCCGACAGGGCTGAGGGCCAATCGGCGTACAGAGCTTTCTGTGGGAGGTTTACGGCTCAGCCGGGCATGCGAAGCTCAGCGTTCGGGCTCAAGATCTTCAAGGGAAGTCGAAGCCAAGATGCAAGAAGGATTCCAAACTGGACAGCTTGGGGAAAAGGCTCCAGCTTCAAAGAGCGATAGCCCTAGCTTGAAATGCGCCACAACTTTGACTAGCACTCCTCATCCCGTAGGCTGCCATTCCAAACACCGTGTCGCCAAGATGCCATCCACGAAGTACATCTGGTGGCACACACTGCCCTTCGCAAACACGGTCTCCATGTACCGGCTTGACTCCTCGCGCGGCACCCAATCCCACGAGTTGTATGAGCGACAGTCTCATCCCTGCTACTGTTGCCACGGCATGCCAAGGCCAGACATCGTTGAACATGCGTGATGGCTGTCGCAGCAGGTGCGACTGTTGCTGAGCCATCCCTGCAAAAAATCCTACAGCTGTACTACCAGGGGTTTTTTCTCTGACTACCGCCACTACAGTTCCCAGTCACTTGGTGTCGTCTTTAGCGTCGCTGACCTCTTGATTCCAGTCTCTGACTTTGGGGGCACCCACTGCTCTTTTACAAACACTACTTGGAGGTTCATGGGTAGTTATTAGTAGAGTTATAAGTAGGGTAACTGTACTTATAACCCATATTAGGGGACCTATGACCCTGATTATAACTACCCATGAACCTCCAAGTAGAGCAGCAGGATGGCACGCCTGCTTCACCGCCTGAGTCAGCATCGTCCGCAGAGTCGCGTTGTACTCACCCTTCAGCACTCTGAAAAGCCTGTCAGCTTCAGCGGCTTTTCGGCGTGGTTGTGTATCCTCGACATGAAGACCGCCAGGGAGTTCTGCCAGAAATATCAAAACCTCTAATCGCCAGAACAACAGTGGCATGCGCGACGTAGTCTTCGTCGCCCAAAATGCACAGCCCGTGCTGGATTCATGAAGCTCTGTCTGCTGCCAGGACGCGGATGATTCGACAGCAGGGGCATGCGCACCTGGAGCTTGCCGAGAGCGGCACAGCATTCAGAGTAGACTCCGCGGCGACAAATGCCAGCTAGTGAGCCGAGCAATATCGACAACGATAACACTACGTACCATTAGTCATTAGTCCAACCACATCGTGGCACTGGATGAAGAGTCGAACCAAGGGCTGTCGAGACACTTCCATCAGCAAGTCCGCCTGGCCACGCGTGCGATACGTGCCGCTGTAATCACTAGCTACCGCAGCGGACACTGAGACTGATACAGTGTCCTTAGCTCGTGTCACTCGGACGAACCTTGCAAGGCAAGCCATGTTGTGTCAATGATTTGGTCTAGCTGTTGGCGCCGTGCCAGCTGCGATGTTTGGTCTAAAGTCTGCTGTTCGGCCGTGGTTCACAATCTTGATCGCCAGCATCCATGACATGACAAATCTTTTCTCCATGCTCTCGGACAAACCTCCGGACAGAGTGAAAATCGAAGGCGAAAATTGATAGACCTGCACTCGTCCTCGAGAGACGGCTCCCGACATCTTGGGGCCAAACGGGCTTCAGATGTGACTCTCCTGGATTTTCTGGGCACCCGAGATGGCCGAGTCTTTGAACTCGGGACTGCCAACATCTCTCAGGTGAGCAGGACCAATTCGGATCATGCCTCGACTCGTCCACATGAGCGAGGCTTTCCCAAAGAACAGCTTCAGGGATAGGTCATAGGCATGTATGTTCATGTTCATGAGGGCGAGTGACATCAAAGGTTCTCACAGTTTCGTGAATATACCGAGAGAAAGAAGCCAGAAGACACTCACAACATTGCACATCGTAAGGGCGCCGCTACTTGCTGCTGTCAGAGCCGCTGAGAATGTCTAAAGGACTTTTTCAACCAAGTGGCAGTCCTGTGCTTCTTCTCAGGAGGAACCTGCTGGGCTTTGCGGGCACGGAAGAGAACTCTGATGTAGGGGCCTGAATAATTGGGGCCCAGTCTACTATAACTATAGTAAGGAACCCCCTAAATCGGACCCCTGTGATATACTAAGTACCGGTTCGAGAGCATCGGGCCTCCTCTAGATCAGCATGTTCTTTGTCCTTAGCCAAGCATCAGCAAAGCAAACAAGAGCAAATTCTGATGCACTAGCATGGACAAAATTGCCCCTGACCACACCAGCTGATGCCCCGTGCTTTCTACTAGACGGCTGGCACGACGACGATCATCCCGAGCACCAGGTCCCGCCCCCTCGACACAAACCTACGCCTGATAATCGCTTCCACTGAAACGCCAACGCCCACCCCACCCACCAGCCTACAGCCCCACCACGCTCACCGCCAGACCGACACACCGGCTAACTATGAGGACCTTCGGCTCACTACGAGCACCCGTTCTACCTGGTATAGTGCCGAGCATCGAAGTCCCAAACATGTTGGAACCCCATCGTCACGCAGAAGCCCTTGAAGTTCGCGAGGTCACTTTGGCAAGAGTGAGAGGATCCTTAGAGAGCTCTGCCAAGCATGCAGTGGGTACTACGGTTGGGGAGGGGCAGACTGAGTATTGGCCGTCTTCATCACCGATACCATTATGTAATTCCTAAACCCTAAACCCGAAAAACTCCTGAACCCTCAACCCTAAAACCTAAACCCTAAAAACCCCTGAACCCTAAACTCCCTACACCCTAAAACCCCTAGAATGCATTCAGCTGAGGCGCCCTCGCTCTTTAAAGACCTGGCAGGCTCTTCAACAGGCTCTGCGACTCTCACTCAAGACACACTGGGAAGAAACTGAGTGCTCAGACTACTCGCAGTCTACTAATATAGGAACCTTCGTAATTAGACTAGGTGTTTGGGGCCCATTCTACGATTAAGTATCAGAGGAACCTCAAAACAGCATAGGTAATTATCAAGACCCGTATACTAACCAAAGAGAAGCCAACTGCATGACATAGCTTCAGGTCACCTGTAGACTTTCTCCAAAGCTTTCCCCATGGCAAGGAAGCCGGTTGCAGGATAGATTGCCACTTGATAGCCAAGCCTCAGTTTAAAGCATCGCGCTGTTGAACTGCTGTAGTGGGGCGGGCTGTCATGGGGTGCAGGCAGTGGTCAATGTAGATGTGACCTCTATCGTCAACTGGGAAAACTGTGGCAGCAAGGCAACCGAAAAGCGCTCTTCTTATCGACGCGGGAGCGTCGGAATGTACGTGAATACTTTGCCGCTGGAGCGCTCGATGTACCGCTCTCGCGGCAGCACGGGCGTCTTCCCGCCTGACGGGTACAGGAGACTCATCTGAGGAGCTAATTTTGAACATACCTGGTACATTGTCATGGCACCCACCGACTTTCTGAATCAAGCTGTCGAAAGGCCTTCGATAGCGCTTTCTACAGAAGAGTCCCTACATGGACACGAACTCTGCAGACCTGTCTGGACAGTGTGCCTCTGAAGCTCGAAGCTTCGAATTTTCGTTTTCGGCCGGACTTGGGAAGGGTGATGTACGAAGATTGAGCAGGTTGCCCCAGTTGCCATCTTGCCTTCCACTGCGTTGACCAGCATTGCCTTGCCAGTCGGCGCCAGTTCATCACAGATCTGCTTCATTTCTGCCTGGAGCAGTTTGAAAAGAATGCAGAGTACATGCCGCGGATGCTCGATGCCTGGGACTCCGTGGGTCATTGACAGATGACGAGGGAGCGACCCGACAGGGAAAGCCTCTGGCTTGACGGCCGAGAAGCCCATCCCCTCATAGAACCCGCTGTAGAGCCGGTGTGTATGCATGCATGTGTATATATGTATGTATGCATGTATAAATAATATACATACATATATATATATATATATATATATATATATATATATATATATTACAGTATTCCAGTTCATTATATTGTATTCTTTTGTCTTTTACTATGTTGTCGTATACCGAAAACTTTAGTATACTAAACCGTGCTATATCATGATATGTTTGTTCTGTCATAGTGTATCATATTATATTCTGTGATGTTATGACCTGTTATAATACATACATCTTGCATATGAAATACGGTAATTGCATATTGCAATAAATATATATATATATATATATATATTGTTAAGCCCTAAACCAAACCCTGAGCCCCACGTCATCTTCGGCTGCCCAAGGCACCTCGGACTCGGGCGCTTCAACGAAGAGGATGTCTGCCCCAGCCTGCACAGCACCCGAAGGCCAGCAAAAGGATAAGGATAGCTCTTCCTTAATGGCTCCCGGCCTCCAGGAAAGCAAAGCAAACTACAGACTAGGGTCTATAGCGTCTAGAGGGAAATCCAGCGAAAAGCTGTAACCCTAATTTCTTCGGCCTGACTTTGACATATTTTTTGGAGGCTAGGAAAGCATTCAAGGAGGCAGAAGTCTCTCCCCTTGACCCTAGGCCCTAAACCCCAAACCTGAAGGCCCAACGAACACTAAAACCGCAACACCGTTGAGAACCCGAGTCCTCACCGACTATTCTCGCATCGATTGTTCTTCTTACTATTAATGCTATTACCATTCTTCTTCTTATTTCTCAGTCCTGATATTATAGCATGTTATCACTTTGTTGAGTTTCATTGTCATTAACATTACAAGCTTTCTTCCCCCAAGCCGGGCTCCCGGGAGTCCTCTGCAAAGGCCTTGGCACGGCGGATCGCCTCCTCCAGTCCTCCCAGCACGTCTGAGGGCTTTGATGAAGCTTCTGAGGCTGTGTAGTTATGGGTTGTATTGACTATATGGTTTATTCGGGTTCAGGGTGTTGTATAATTATCGTCTTATTGTATTAATCATAAGGCTTTTCGGGGGGTTACCATAATAATTTGTTATTTAGGTGTGTTAATTACAGTAAATATGGTGATATAGGGTTTTTAGATGCTTTTACGGGCTCTTAGCAGATTCAATGTGACTAACATGGCTTGCAGACTTAGCTTACTAAGGTGGGCACGGGCTGACAAAAAGAGCGGATTCGGCATTACGGACACATGCTGCTCGTTGCAAGCGGTTGGTTGAGGTCCTAGGTTGGTGCGGGCATCGGTCCGCGCCACAATCAGGAAGTCCGGGGATGTTCGCGCCTGCTCATCAAGAACATTGGCACCTACAACCTTGACGAGTCGAGGTCTCAGATGGTTCCCTTCCGAGGTGGCTGCAAAACATGTATATTGGGGGTACCTTTCTGAGCACAGCTGCCTTTCGTGACACTGTCGAACATAGCAACCGAATTGTTCTGACCAGCCAAAGCAAAGCCGTGCCGGCAAGCCCTTTGCAAAATCTCTACCAACACTTTGAAAAACAAGTTCTGCGATGTGCAGGCTGCACGACAAAAGCCATGAGCGAGCTATGTGCATCAGAGACAGAGATGCTTGGACAGACAGGGGGCATGTCACACCTCTTCATACTAAATGCTCTGCACCCAACCCAAAGTCACCACAGATGCACCTAGCAAGCTTTGTCCCGCATCGGGCCTGCAGCCCAGGACATACAAACCTGGTAATAGTATCGAGCCCGAAGCGCGACTGTCTGAAGCCAAGATTTGGCGGCTGACCCTCCTTGCATTATGCATTCATGGTTGTCGCATTGTTCCAGCTTGCTTATCCCATTCTTATCCCTCGGCACCTCTGCAGCAACACGAATCTTGGCCACGGCCTGCTCGAAAGGAATCACCTGCTGGCACGTACTTCGAGTATACTTATGCCAGCAAGAGTGCTGCACGCGTAGCTGGAGACATCGTAGCTGCCGTCGGGGTCCACTTCGCCGTCGTCGTCCTCCTCCTGGCCTCCTCCTCATTCACCTCGTCTCCGTCGTCGTCCTTCTCGTCCTCGTCCTTTTGCTCGTCGTCCTCGTCTTGGTCGAAGTCGTGTCGGTCATCGTCTTCATTGTCCGCGATTTCTTTCTCAAAATGATCCTGCATGCCTGTTTCATTATTTATCATTATAATACGTCTGTCTGCTGCACATTGTCAGTCTTGCTTTGCTCAGAAATCCCGGCCCTTCTTTCATGCCTTGTGCTACTAGCAGGGATCTGGGATCAGTTTCTCCGAACTCGAACGGCATCCGAGCCTTGCGCCCCGGGGTGTGACCGCACTTCTTGGGGAACTCCTGGTCCTGCCGAACCAGGCCATGACGGGTCATTTATACCCACAACTATTTGCTATGAAGGGGCTGACGGTAAGTGTCTAGCCGGGTCTGCGACACTTAGAAGCCGCAGCTTGCAGCAAGGCTTGCCCCTTTGCTACTTGGGGACTTGGGTGTCCTCCAGCTGGATGGCGCTCGCACCTGCCTCTTCCTTAGACACTTTCGAGGTTGGACCAAGAAGTGAGTATGCAACTGCATACCTATCTTTCACGTAAGGATCCCGAGTGCTCGGTCACTAGGTGTCATGGCCACCGAAACACTTGAAAAGCACAGCAGCAGCGAAAAATGTCAGTATTCTTGCAGGTAGAGGCACATAACCCTTCACTGTGTGCGCCACCTGAAGCGACAGCATCCGCACATTTCCGCACCATGCTCCTCAAAATCTGCTCATGCCTGCAGAAGCTGCTGCAAAGCATTCTGTGATGGACCTAATGCTCTTGATTGCTCTTACCGAGTCGCATTCAGTAGGCCACCAAAGCCCGTGTCGCCGTCGCAAATGACGGGCACTGACGTGAGGGCCGTGAGGGTCCGCACCTCAGCTTCGATACATCTCAACTCTTGCTCCACCTGGAGCTCTAGGCTCAACGCAGTCTGCTCCTTCTTGCTCTATATTCGAATCTATTCCAGAGCCTGACCGCCTGCCTCCGTACAGGAGGTGAGCTGTGAAGCTTGCAACCGGCCGACCCTCTCCACCATGTCGCGGTAGGAAGCAAGGCCGGCATCCGGCAAACCCAAGTGGCTTCCCACAGTGCCGAAGCCTGACGGGGGTTTCCGAAAATGGGGGCCCTAATATAGCACCGTAAATAGTTGGATCCTTATTATAAGGACCCCACAAGTAAGGTACCCCTAATTTTCGGAAACTCCCATATGAGAACCATATGAGAAGACTACAGTCAGTTGAGAATGCAATCCGGATACATCATGTGCATCGTTTGACGGCTTGAACATTAAGGCGTGAGTGGCTCCCACGTCAAACCCAGAAATCCAAGGGGGCATAACATAGGGGCCTCAATAATGAGAATGGCCATTGTACTATAATTGTAATAAGGAACCCCCAAAACAATATTGGTAATTACTTTATCCACTATATTAAAGAGGAGGAAACCTGCGGACGAAAACCCTCCTTCAGGCTCAGCACAGAAAGCCCCTGTAGTCTAGGATCCTAACCATAGAAATGGCTAACCCAGAAAAGGCAATGGAGAGTGTAGCTCGGCTTGAACCTCAATTGCGCCCCGCCTGTCATGTACAGGGCCTTGAATCCCACCTGCCCAGCTGCGGTGAAGTTTCGCGAGATGTGATAACATAGACATGGATACATGCACAATGCACGGGTGACTCAGCGCGAGATCAGCAAGTAAGCACGTACACCAGCATAGGTACATCAAAAAAGGTAACTATGCATACAAACTATGAACATAATTGTATATATGTGCATATGTGTATATAGATATACATATAAATATGTATGTATATATATATATATATACTTTTCACATACACACATTATATAATTAGACATAAACACATACGTAAAGATATGCGCTGTCGACGTCGGTGGAATGGCTGCGGTCTTCCCTCTGGTGTCACAAGGTTTGGGAGCAGAATGCATGTGACCTTAGCCTTAGACCCAGAGCAGCAATCGCCAACGAGAGCTGCAAATGCCGAGAAAGGATGTCACTTGACCATGCCTGCTCGGCCACTCTGGCAGAAATGCCATCCTTAACACCGGAGCTCGGCATGCGAAATGAAGGCTATGGCTTGCAGATTGTGCATGGGCATGCATGTAGCTAGCACACACACACACACACACATATATATATATATATACATACATATATATATATATATATATATATATATATACAGATATATATATATATATACACGCACACCCCAAACCCTAAAACCCTAAACCCTAACGCCCCAAAACCCTAAACCGTCAACCCCTAAACCCTGAATACCGTGTTGAAAGGACCGCACGAGCAAAACGCAGCCTCCGAGCCTCCTCCTCCCAAGCCTTCCCTAAGCGTCGCTAAAGAGCGAAGTATCTAAGATAAGGGCCTTGATAATTGATAGAGTTTTGGGGGTTATAGGGTTTAGTGTTTTTGGGGTTCCATGTTATAACTATACAATATCCAATTAAGGCCCCTATGTAAGGCAACCTGCACTCTACCTCCCGTGATCCCATGTGAGAACACAAATTTCAGTGGTGGCACGGGTTGCGAGACCGACATCAAATCCAAGGCTCGAAAATGCCCGGAGCAATCAGCAACTCGCCCTTTGCTAGAAGCGATTTGAGGCTCGGCTTGGTCGGCGAAGCCATGGCTGCAGCCCTCGAGCTACAACTCTACGGTAGCTTTATATATACCCTCGTACGCATGCCCCTTTCCAATGGCTATCATTTCCAGTGAACCTTAGGATAGCTTCAAGGTGGACCACCGCTTACAAATGACCGCCACCGTGCCCGGCATCAAAACATCGACTGCATGATGTGCAATGAGCTGTTGTATAACGCGCTCGTCAGGACACAGATGTGCGGATACGGCAGGACATCCTCATGACAGACCCTCATGTTCTGGCATACCTCTTCCCTCACAGAGCATTTAGACGAGATAGAGGCCTGAATATTTGGAATGGGGTTTGGCATTGTCTTACAGCACAGAAATTAGCCTCAAACTATAAACTATATTAATTCAGTATGCACAGTACAGAATAAGAGCTGACTCAAGGACCCAACCTAAACCACAAAGCTTCGGTCAAATCGGAGCACCCAAACCCTATAAAGTTTTACGAGAGAAGCTTGACGTTACACCTGCGAAGCTCACACACCAAACCCTAAGCCCGAAAAGCCCTGTATATCCTGAGAGCCCTGAACCCCTAGTAGGAACCCTTATTACAGTACCCATTGAAGGGCGTTAGACCAACAAGCCCAACAGGCTGTGTAAAGAGCTAAGCATAGGTCCGACATCAGCCAAGCCTAGACCCTCGACCCACCGGCCTGCGTCTGCACTGGCAACAGCCGAAGTAGCTGAGCCTGGCAAGAGGACCAGCACAGGGTGTCGGGCGGCGAAGTCACGATCTGAAGCTGAACATCTGTGTGCTTCGTCGGGCAACTTCCAGCAGAACTGCACCAAAAACATGCAACGCCTGACAAACTCCCCCAATAGCTGGACTTGATCGCATCACAACGCCCGAGACATCATGTCGCCACGAATACTCTGTGTGAGGCATCAAAGGAGTTGCAAGGCTGTGTCAAGCTTGCTGCAAATCAGCCTCAGTGTCGAGGTCGCTGTCCAAAGTGCTACGGTCCTGCGCCGACAGTAGTAGAAGTGCGCAAGGCTTCGGCCCTGTAGCCAAGCTAGGGCTACTGCAGCTTCTGCTGCGATTGGAAGTAGTATGGCGGTGGCAATAGGGAGAATTAGAAATAGCAGAAGCAGTAATCGCAGCAACGCTGGCAGTAGCAACGGCGTAACGACAGTAGTGCTAGTGCTAGTACTAGCCAAGCACTAGTGATGGTGGCAGTGGCGGTGGTAGCCGTATTCGCAGTCGCAGTGGTAGTAGCAAGTAGTAGTAGTAGTAGTAGTAGTAGTAGTAGTAGTAGTAGTAGTAGTAGTAGTAGTAGTGGTAGTGGTAGTGGTAGTGGTAGTGGTAGTGGTAGTGGTAGTGGTAGTAGGTAGTAGTAGTAGTAGTAGTAGTAGTAGTAGTAGTAGTAGTAGTAGTAGTAGTAGTAGTAGTAGTAGTAGTAGTAGTAGTTGTAGTAGTAGTAGTAGTAGTAGTAGTAGTAGTAGTAGTAGTAGTAGTAGTAGTAGTAGTAGTAGTAGTAGTAGTAGTAGTAGTAGTAGTAGTAGTAGTAGTAGTAGTAGTAGTAGTAGTAGTAGTAGTAGTAGTAGTAGTAGTAGTAGTAGTAGTAGTAGTAGTAGTAGTAGTAGTAGTAGTAGTAGTAGTAGTAGTAGTAGTAGTAGTAGTAGTAGTAGTAGTAGTAGTAGTAGTAGTAGTAGTAGTAGTAGTAGTAGTAGTAGTAGTAGTAGTAGTAGTAGTAGTAGTAGTAGTAGTAGTAGTAGTAGTAGTAGTAGTAGTAGTAGTAGTTAGTAGTAGTAGTAGTAGTAGTAGTAGTAGTAGTAGTAGTAGTAGTAGTAGCAGTAGTAGTAGTAGTAGTAGTAGTAGTAGTAGTAGTAGCAGTAGTAGCAGTAGTAGTAGTAGTAGTAGTAGTAGTAGTAGTAGTAGTAGTAGTAGTAATAGTAGTAGTAGCGGTAGTAGTAGTGGTAGTAGTAGTGGTAGTAGTAGTAGTAGTAGTAGTAGGAGTGGTAGTAGGATGTGGTAGTGGTAGTGGTAGTAGTAGTAGTGGTAGCAGCAGCAGCAGCAGCAGTGCGAGTAGAAGTAGGAGTAGCAGTAGCAGCAGCAACAGCCTTAGCAGTAGCAGTAGTAGTAGTGGTTTTGGTGGTGGTGGCGGCGGTGGTGGTGGTAGTAGTAGTAGTCGTCGTAGTAGTCGTAGTAAATCAAGTAGTATTATATAATTAACTAGTATTAGTGGTAGCAGTAGTAGCAGCAGCAGTAGGAGTTGTCGTAGTAGTGTCACTAGGACGAGAGGACGAGGAGTTGCTGCAGCAATAACAAGGCTCCGCTTCCGCCTGTTCTTAGCCCTGCCCTGACACGTCCTTGATGTGCCGCTTGGCCAAGTAGAGTAAGGGGAAGGACAGGGAGTGCCTTGGGCCGGCGGCTTCGAACTGGGCTGTGGGTAAACTGAATTAAGGATTTGCGGTAGATGATCCCACAGCTCCGCTGAGGGCGAAGAGGCTGAACATTTTCGGGACGACTTGAATAGGTGACTTCGTGGTTGCGAGTTTAGGTGCGCAAGCTCGTGCAGCTCTCGGTCGCGCTATATCCTAGAACTCTCTCTGTTGACATCCAGCCAGGCTGACAGATTGCAGTCACTGTTCCCACTGGATCCCAGTGAGTTCCCGGCATCTCTCGGTATCTTTGAAGCAGGCGTTTGTAGCCTGCATGCGGTGAAAGCAAATCTCCCCCAAGTATCTAAGTATCTCGTGCGTCATCTGCATCACAGAGATGTGAACGACATGTATGATCATTGCACAAGCCGTTTCCCGTCCTGATTCCCTGTCCATGAGCTGCTGCAGCTGCAACATCCGTGACGTCAAGCTGGAGACAAAGATGGACATGAAGATCAAGGTGAAGCAGGCCTCGCTCCGGCTCAAGGATTCAGAAGTGAGTTTAAGAAACCAAGAGCCATGTCTGCAGCGCGTGCTTTCAGTCGAGCTGCCGTGAAGCCGATGTACAGCATCTCCACGAAGGTCCTCTCCTTGCATGGGGAGTGCCATGTCTCAAAGAGCAAGTGCCAGGTTGGCTACCCAGACTTGAGACTTTTAATCTTTAAGCAAGGGAAACTTCGATGTGAGACGGAGGACTTAATTAGCCCACAAATGGAGCATACTTCCCACGACAAAACTCACACCACACGACACCAAGGGTTTTACGGCTCCTGCGACTTACCTTTGGTTAGTAGGGAATGGAAGAATGGTAGAAATTGTAATTATAAGTGCACCCCAATCCTCCATTCCCTACTAACCAAAGGTAAGGCGATGCGGAAGTGCTGAAGCGCCTCAGCCCCTAGGAACCGCAGCCGGCCTGTCTGTCTGTCCGGCCATTGAGCTGGGCCAGTGTCCAACGCACTGCTGCGACATACCTGCTAATATATGTACATATATATATATATATATATAGAAGACGTATATATTATATTTGTTATACATATATATATATATGTACATATATATATATATATATATATATACACACACACACCTGTTCAGGGGCGCTTTGGGCTCAAGGCTCTCCCGCGAGTTGGTCCATCTTTAGCACTCTATCAGGCGGAGAACTGGAGAGCAAACATATGGGTAAGTAAGCTGATGAGCTGTCGGGCAACACAGGCATCTGAAGTTTTCCAAAGGCAGGCGCCGGAAACACCATAGACGTGAATCATCGCAAGATCGCATGACAAACAAACCCAAACAAGACAAGCTTCATTGCAAACCCCCAAGGATACTCAATGAATACAAGAGCCAGCGCACCAGTTGGACCGAGACCATTATCAACTGCGATTGCAATCTAGCGTCGAACTCTGTCTCTACTCCTGTCTCACACCGCCATGCCCCGAACAATGCTCTTCGTTTCTTGCATTGGCAGCCATATGCATCATTTTCATAGCATCCGTCAGTTCCAAAAACATGGTTTTGCTGCTGCTCTGCAAGCTCCGCGCCTGACCATCGCAGGCTCCTCCAGGAAGCCCTCCTTGTCAACCCAACCTGTGGAGCTTGGGTCAACCATGAAGTCCAGAAGTGGCGGTGAAAGAGCAACCGGCAGGCATGTCATGTGTTGATAATTTCTCGGTCGGCGGAGAGAGACATGCCGATGCCGTGACTTAAACCAGTGTCCGAAGCTTCCTACCGGCTCGTGAAACTCAGTGGCTGAAGCATGACGAGCCACGATGTAGCTTCTCTCAGAAGTCAGCAGATCTTGATCTGATTGCACTAAGCTGAACTTGCGAAATCTGTGGCCTAGATATGCTAGGCTTAGCGCCTCCAGCTGTATTGAAGCCGACGAAGTGCCAGCCCACAGAGAAGAAGTGAACAGCCTTGCGCTCAGGGGTTCTTGACCCACGAAGAGACTCAGCATCCCTAAACCATCCTAGAACCAGGAAAAAGGCTCCATCGGTGGCAACTCGGGCTGCGAGGTTGTCTTTACTTCAGGTAGCACGAGGCATCAAGACTTCGAAGCATTCCACTACACATAGGTACTGGTAGCTGACACTAAGGCCAAAAGCATGGCAAAAGGGCCTGAACATACCAGAGTCCCTGCTTCCTGCTTCATTGCTCTTACACCATCACGTACAGAGGACCTGTTCATCCCATCATCGAAGAATTGCCACCAGCCGCCTCTGCAGTTCGTAACACCCTCAAAGGGCGGCCTATCGATGCCCATTAGGGCTCTTGAAGGTCTTCCGACCTCATTAACAATCGATGCTCCTCTAAAAACCCTGAAATCCTTGCGGGCCAGCACACCAACAAGAGCAAGGTAGCCATCTTCAGGACCTGGGAGTCTCAGAGCCGCGAGTGGCAAAAGGGCTTTGGGGATGTGTCGTGCGGAGCGAAGCTGCAGAGCGCAGGGCCAGGCGGTGTAAAGATGGTGTATGATATATAAAAGTATATAACAACAATAATGAATTTCGTAATTAGGCACTATCTGTATAATAATGTTACTGATGAACGGCTACAGCCATATGTGAACTTCTATTTTCGTTCAACGAGA